CTTCAGCCTGAGGCCTAGTCTACACTTACCGGCTGGGCCGGAGGCACGCCATCGATGTTCTGGGATCGATTCCGGAAGTGCTCACAATCCACGCCGGAACTCCAGCTCGCCGAGAGGAGTACGCGGCGTCGACGCGGGGAGACTTCCGGCCGCGTCTGGACCGCGGTAAGTCCGGACTAAGTGTAGACCAGCCTGAGATAAGCCTTCTCCTGACAAACAACTCTCAACGGTAAGTGCTAAGCCTACTGAGCTGCATCATCCTTCCTTCACTGTGCCCAGCCTACAGTGGAGTTACAGTAAGAAACTTGAGGTCTTCATTGATTTCAGCCCCACTGTCATCCCTATAACATACTGTGTGCCAAACAACGTGCCTGGAGAGAGGGAAGGGAAGGGAGAAGCTCCCTTACCTCCTGATAGTAGACAGATGCCAGAGCATAGTCCTCATTGACTTCGGCTTCATGAGCAAAGAGTCGCAGCTGCTCACAGCTTGTGAAGGTGGGTGAGGCAACGACAGTACTCTCCTGTGACAGTATCTGTTAAGAGACAAGGACATAGGAGATAAAATGAAGTCAAATCAGCACACAGAAGTTTGGCAAGGATGAACTAGGTCACTCTGTGGCATCACTGTGCAAATCCAGTGTGATACAAAATGCAATACATTACAGGCTGGGCGACAAATTATAAATCATTCTGACTATTGATGGCAAATGGGACTCACTCCTGCATCTCTCTTATCTGTACCTCACTATCAGGTGTGTAAAATCATGGACTTTGAGCTACCTTCATCACATAAGCGAGGTGTCTTCCCCATTATTTACACCTGTGGTCTATTGGTATCAGAAGATCTCAATCTTAAAAACCAAAGAAACACCTAAGGACTTCCATATGGACCAAGAATATTGCAAGCTTCCTACTCTTCTAATTTGTGTAATGTCACCAGTGTGGCTCTTTGATACACAATGAAAGATCTGTATCATATATAGGAGTCTGCTAGCTGACATCTCCTCATCCACCCCTAACATGCATCAACCCAAAGACACCTCATACACATACATATTCTATGGCTATGGGCAGGGGTGAAAGTAACTTAAAGGACTTACCGGTACATCAGAGTCCTGAGTGGGGTGTGGCCTCAACTGCAAGAGGTGGGGCCTTTCAAGATTTAAAAGCCCTGGGGCTCCATCTGTGGCTGGGAGCCCCAGGGTCTTTAAATCACCCTGGAGCTACCAGCTGCAGAGGCGGCTGGGAGCCCCGGAGTGAATTAAAGGGCTCGGGGCTCCGGCTGCCGTGGAGCTCCAGGCCCTATTAAATCACTACAGGAGCCCTGCCACGCACTACCCCGGGGCGGCAGGGCTCGGGCTAGGGCTGGAGTAGCTGTGGCAGGGCTCCAGAGGCAATTTAAAGGGCCCGGGGCTCCAGCCGCTGCGGGGAGACCCGCGCCCTTTAAATCCCCGCCGGAGCCCGGATACCGGGGCCCCGGGGCTCTGGCAGCCAGGCTCGAGCAGAGATTTAAAGGGCCTGGTGTTCCTGCCACTGCGGGGAGCCCTGGTCCCTTTAAAGCGCCGCCGGAGCTCCGGCAACGGGGCTCAGGCGGCGGTTAAAGGGACCGGGGCTCCCCACAGAGGTTGGAGCTCCGGGCCCTTTAAATCCCCACCCGAGCCTGGCTGCTGGAGCTCCGGTGGGGATTTAAAGGGCCCGGGGCTTCCCACAGCAGCTGGAGCCCTGGGCCCTTTAAATCACCGCCGGAGAAGCTGGTCCAGTCCGGCACGGCGTACCAGCTCTTGCCGGGTACGCCGTACCAGACTGTACCGGCTTACTTTCACCTCTGGCTATGGGACCATAGAAATACCTAGATACTGTAGATTAAAAATGTTTCTGACAATGTTTCGGGGGCTGCATGTTAGGCTAATTGTAGTAATTGCATATTCAGAGCTTGATCCTGCCCCCACTGATTTCCAAGAAAGCCGTGTTAGGCCTCAGCTCCATAGTGAAATAAATACACTCCAAGTCACACTTGACAATGTTCTTACTATGTGACTGGGTGTCTGCCTACCTGATTTAAAGCAATGTGCATCTGATCCACAAGGTACACATACAGCTCACTCAGGAAAGCTTGTAGCTGCTCCAGGTTGTTTAATGCTGTTGTCCTCAAGTACTTCTCTCTCACAATCTTCACCACTGCATGCTGCAGAGAACATAAAACAACTACTTGACAATAGGGCCTCACCTTCAACCTACCACTTTCCTCTGTGGCAGCAGCAGAGAGCCAAAAAACACCAACTTCATTTAGCCTGAACCCATAACATGTATTTAATGAAAGAAGGCCATGTACAGCACTGATTAAGGGGATGGGTGAATGCAGCTGAATTCCACTTTCAGTCTAGCTGACTATGGTCCCTCTTGGACAGACCCAAGTCCATTGGTGGAGCAGTCCATGGTGGAGCATTGGATAAATACACATGGAGACTGAATTCTGCTCTTACCCCCAGAAAGGGCAGTTCCTCCAACGGCTGGGGTCAATTGGCAGAGTGGTACAAGCATAGGCCAAGACTAACTAAATCAAAGAAGTGAACTCTTTTTTCATCTTAGTAGGATGGTTCAGGTCCAGAATTGTACACAGAGGATTACTGCATGTGGAAAGCTGATTATCCATCCCTTCCTTTAGCTCGAAACTAAACTAAACCTGCCTAGAAATGTGGTGCGAACACATGCCATTTGTGACTCCATGCTTGGAGCTGTACCCCACTGACAGAAAAGATTCTCCTGACATGCAACCAGCGGTGTATTATCGCCTAGACCAGGGGTCAGGCAACCTTTCAGAAGTGGTATGCCGAGTCTTCATTTATTCACTCTAATTTAGGGTTTCACATGCCAGTAATACATTTTAACGTTTTTAGAAGGTCTCTTTCTATAAGTCTATAATATATAACTAAACTATTGTTGTATGTAAAGTAATAAGGTTTTTAAAATGTTTAAGATGCTTCATTTAAAATTAAATTAAAATGCAGAGGCCCCCGGACCAGGGGCCAGGACCCGGGCAGTGTGAGTGCCACTGAAAATCAGCTCGTGTGCCGCCTTCGGCACGCGTGCCATAGGTTGCCTACCCTGGCCTAGGCCGACAAGGCCTAGGCTTAGGGTGGCAAATTTGAGCACCCATGGAGAAGCTCCGCTCCCCTCCCCTCCCCACATCGCCTCCCCTACTCCAGTTCGCCTCCGCCTCCTCTGCAAGCACACTACCGCGTCCTGTTTCTCTCCCTCTCCTTCCCAGCGTTTGCACTGCGAAACAGCTGTTTCGTGGGGTGGGGAGGAGGGGGAACACGGCGTGCTGGGGGAAGAGGCGGGTCTGGGGCGGGGATTTGGGGAAGGGATCCAATGGGGCAGGGAGGGGGCGGAGACTTTGGGGAAGGGGTTGGAATGGGGGCGGGGAAAGGGCGGAGTCGGGGCGGACGGGGCAGCAATTATTTCAGGGCCTAGGGGTGGCAAAATCGTTAATCTGTCACTGCATGCAACCAAAATTTGGACAACTTCCTGCCCCGTTAGAAGAGAAACTTCAGAATTTATGCCCCTGTTGGAACAGGTACTGACTATTTGAAAGGGATTCCTCAGTTGCAGTAAGATGGCACCTGTCATTTTAAGTTCCTATTGAAGTACAGAAGCTCTCTGCTGAAGAGAAAGAGTCAGAAAGGAAATGACAAGGCAATCAAAGAGATACAAATGGAAGGTTTGCCTTCAGCTGTTCCTTAAAAGCAAAGTATTTTCCTGAGCTGTTGAGTTCATAGTTCAGTTGACACTTCTGTTCCTCCAGGGTGTGATGATCTATTACACCACCATCAACCATCTGCTTCCCAAACAGCTCATGGTACTCATCCAGAATGGCTCCAGCAATATTAGTGATCTGATTGTGGTAATCTTCCACAGCCTAGAAAACAGAGAAGCCGGAGCTGAAACAGGAATCCGGCCCTGGGATTCAGACTTTAAAGGTAACTTCTAGTACAAAGCTTGAAATTGACTTATGTTACAGAGCCCACTCCTCCTGCTAAGTATGTCTGACTCAGCCTCAATTAACCTGTCGTATCCGTCTCATCAGTGATTGATAACTACTAAGGTGTCTGTGTATAAATAGAAGCTTTCTCCTTTATAATTAGATATTGCTCCTGTTTTATTTTTCCAGATAATCTAGTATTTCAGACATTGTCATCTCTTCCATGGTAGTATAATAGGCTTTACATAAAATATAATTTTATTTGTCAGTGTGACGTTGCACTCTCTATGATTTTTTGAAAGTATGCTGATGAGTGTGAACATAATGTAACTAAAATATGCTTCATGCAAAAGGTCTCTTGTAAGATATCATTACAAAGCTTATAATCTACTGAGTGTGGTCATCCTATTTGTGTAAATGTATCACTCTTGTATCTGAAACTAGAAATATGAAATATAACTCTGAGGGCCTATTGTAATTATGCAGAGTGTGGGCCATTATTGGTGGTTTGGAATCTTGATGGCTCCCATTAACCAGGACAGTTGACGGTAGATGGCTCTGTTTTACTTGTAAGTCTTTCTGTATACGTATTGCTGGCAAGTGGGTAATGAAGTCTTGCAGTGACATGTGATCATGTCACCTGAACTGGAATCCATCTCTAACCTGGTGATTTTCCATTGAGAAGGAGGGTGGGAACCCAGAGAGGGACAAAGGATTCCTGCCTTATGCAGAAGACATATAAGTAGGTGGAACAGAACAAAAGAGGCTGTAATCATGAGAAATCCCCGAGCTACCACCTGAGCTGGAACAAGGACTGTGCCAGGGAAAAGGATTGTGCCCGGACTAGGAAGGCATGTGATAGAAGTTTATTGAAAGATCTCTGAGGGTGATATTTTATCTGTATTCACTTTTCTTATTATATTAGGTTTAGAGTTGCGTGTTTTATTTTATTTTGCTTGGTAATTCGCTTTGTTCTTTCTGCTATTACTTGGAACCACTTAAATCCTACTTTCTGTATTTAATAAAATCACTTTTTACTTATTAATTAATCCAGAGTATGTATTAATACCTGGGGGGCAAACAGCTGTGTATCTCTCTCTATCATTGCGATAGAGGGCGAACAATTTATGAGTTTACCCTGTATAAGCTTTATAAAATAGATTTATTTGGGGTTTGGACCCCATTGGGAGTTGAGCATCTGAGTGTTAAAGACAGGAACACTTCTTAAGTTGCTTTCAGTTAAATCTGCAGCTTTGGGGCACGTGGTTCAGATCCTGGGTCTGTGCTGGAGCAGACTGACGTGTCTGGCTCAGCAAGACAGGGTGCTGGAGTCCCAAGCTGGCAGGGAAAGCAGGGGCAGTAGTAGTCTTGGCACATCAGTTGGCAGTCTCCAAGGGGGTTTCTGTGACCCAACCCATCACAGTGGTGTAGTCGAGCAGCGTCTGTGCACAGCTGATTGCTTTGAGATACTGGTAGTGATTTTAAGTGAGTTTTAAGTGTGGTGGCTGGAGAACAGACACAGTGGTTACTGGTTTGTTATTTTCTGTTTGCTTATTTCAGGTAAGGGAAATAGGGACAGAAAAGGAAGCAAAATAAGTAAGAGTGAAGATCAGAAGAGGCTAGAACTACACAAGTTGTAAATTGCCAGGAAGGCTGAACTCTGGGCACTGGGAAAATCCCTGTTAACTAAGAAGCTCTTGAGCTAAGTGCATCTCCGTTTCAGTGAACTGCAGACAGGTGTGGCCCAAGCTCTGTGTCTGTGCTGAAGCTGACTGGAGTGTCTAACTTAGCAAAACAGGAGTGGAGGGGTGCCTGTTCTGGCAGGAGGGGGTTCTCTGTGGTATCCCAGGTCATCGAGTGATGATCTAAAGGGAAAACAAATGGAAATTGATGTGCAATTTTCCTGGGAAAAGGCTGCCCTGGAAAAAGAAAAGGCTGCCCACCAGCAAACCCTGGACTTAAAAGACAAAGCAATTAAGACCCAGAAGCATGAACTGGCTGTAATGGAGTGGAAGAGGTGCACAAAGACATGTATCCTGGAGCTGGAAGTTGAGGTCCTGATGACTGCTGCGGTGGGAACAGACCCCAGGGACTCTGTAGCTGGAAGCATGCCCAACCTAATGAAAGGGGGGGGATAAACCCAACTACTGCTGTTTCCTCCCTCTCTGATTTTCCGTGAGTCTAGCTAACACAGATTAGGGGAGGAGCTCCTTAAAGGTGTGATACAAGTACCATATATACACAATATATCCCTAAACGCTTTCTTCATTCTGTTTGTCCTTTAGAAAGGAATGTGTTTCCTGCAAATCTTAGGGCATGACTACATGTACAGTGCTGCAGCAGCAGCACATCTGGTGAAGACGCTCTGTGCCAACAGGAGAGAGCTCTCCCGTCAGCATAATAAAACCACCTCTGTAAACAGCAGAAGCTATGTCGGATAGCGCTGTGTACACAAGTGCTTATGTCGGTGTAACTTATGTCGCTCAGGGGGTGGTTTATTCATGATGTTGACACAGGCTGTAGTGTAGACATAGCCCTTTTAGCTCATTCTATTACTGACTTCTCGGTAGTGTAGATTTGAAAATGAGGATCGTGGAGGGTTACTAGACACCTGTGGAGCGGAAAACAGTCACAGAAAGGACCTACCTTCTTAGCTCCTGCACTCCGGCGTGGTAGCTGAGGGCGTGGAGGAATCATCTCCTTAACTCTGTGTGAGAGAAAGCAGAAGGAAGCTATTCCATGTGCAGAAAGCAGCCCCAATCTGTCCTGGACCCAAGTAGTTTGTATTTCTAGGGTTATTGGCCTGTTATAGTTAGTTTGGGGATAAGGCACAGAAACAATCAAATCATGGGAGAAATTATGAAGCCTCACAGGGAATGTCCATACAGCAGCTGGAAGGGCAATTCCCAACCCAGCCAGACACACATTCGCTTGAACTATCATGCTAAAAGCAGTAGTGTGTCCGTGATGGCACGGGTGGTGGCTTGGGCTAATTGCCCGAGTACAATCCTGCCTGACCTCCTGGGTAAATAATTGGGCAGCTATCCTGAACTGCTGCCATGCCATCACAGCCACACTGCTATTTTCAGTGTACCAGCTCAAGTAGAACTGGAAATTACCCTGCTTGCTGCCGTGTAGACATACCATAGACCAAGAACAACTCAGTGCAGACAAAAATCTCTACATTCAGTGTGTGGAGCTCATCGTGACTTCTTGGATAACTAGTTAAATATAAAAATATATGGAGATATACCTATCTCATAGAACTGGAAGGGACCCTGAAAAGTCATCGAGTCCAGCTCCCTGCCTTCACTAGCAGGCCCAAGTACTGATTTTTGCCCCAGATCCCTAAGTGGCCCCCTCAAGGATTGAACTCACAACCCTGGGTTTAGCAGGCCAGTGCTCAAAACCTCACACCTCACTAAAGGCCCAGGGCCTGATTTTCATTTACATTAAAGGGTGTAAAGGGGGCTTAGTATGAACGCAAATAAAGTCCCTAGGCTCTTTTCACAAACCTGACTGTCCTGTACTATCTAGTCCAGTGTCTAGTAGTTGTGCTGTGAGCCACTGCTCTAGTCCTTTCTATTCCTGCAATGTTTTAATTGATCTCTAGCACCCACCTCTGTACATTGCCACGGGCTGGTCTCTGAAAATGCTCAACATCAGTACAAATATTCAAAGTACATCCCCTACCTCACTTACCTACCCACCTGCTGCCCTATGAACCCCCACATCTCAGATCTTGTATGTTTGTCAATACCAGTCTCATGGAATCCATGACTACTGTCAGGAATGAAAACTGTACAGCATTATCTACTTTATCATTAGCAAACATTGTGAAAATATTGTTAAGGGTCAACGATCAAGCAAATAACGCTGGAAATATGAGTTTAGACTGATAGAGAACCTTAAATTCAGCCCACAGAAGCTGACTATGGAATTCACAGTATTTTAAACACGAGTCCAGAAATGATTCAGTATTGACATACACAGGAATAACATTTGCAACTAGATGAGCACACTTCTGGGTGTAACCTGATTACCATCCAGGGCCAGAATAGATTCAGATTTCAAACCCAGAGATTCCCAGATCCCAAGGCCACTGTGGTCACCTAGTCTGACCTGTATAACACAGGCCAGAAGCTCTCCTGCCCAATGTTCAGCATTGCACAACTGGCTGGGTGTTCTGAACCTGATTCCAATCTCACTTACCCCAGTATAAATCAGGACCAATAACACCAAATTCAGTGAAATTGCCCAGAAGTAGAACTGGTGTAAACAAAGTTAAAATGAAGGCTGTTATAAAGGGGTTTCAACTTCCTCTCATGCACCAGACATAGGCCATTGCTAGAGCATACCAGTTTATGTAGGCCAGTGACCTACTGAATTATGGCAATTCCTGTGTTGTTCCAGGAGCAATGGGGAGTAGTGCCCATGCAATGGAATTATTGCGTGGGCTCTGCCCCCATGTAAACTTGTGCATGGGGGTGGGAGGACAGGAGGGCAGTGGAAGCGAGAGCGGTGGAAGCAAGAGTGGGACCCAGAGGGCTGGCGAGCAGGTAGGAACTGCTGGGACCACCCTTCCCAGCCTGAAGTGGGCTGCCACCCCCTCAGCCGAGTCTCAGTAGCTCCCTCACACCCTCTCCTATCCCTCTGCCCCCCTGTCCTGTTCCCTTAGGTCTGTTGATTCAGTTGTACATCGAGAGAGTTTGTGAGGCCCTTTTTCTGCACATGCTGGATTTTATCTGTTTTCAGTATTCTCTCTTTCCTATTCAATAAATTATACATTAAAAAGAACCATACAAGGCTAGGTGAAATGTGAATCTATCTTCCTGTCTTCCAAACCCACACCAGTTCCCTGTTCTTAATGGGCCTGATCCAAAGCCCAATGAAGTCAAGGCAATTATTTCTATTGATTTCAATGGACTTTGGATCAGGCCCATTATTATTTATACAGCACCACAAGCGTGCGTGACATTTAACAGATACATTACAAAACAGTCCCTGGCCTGAGGAGCTTACAGTCAAACCACTGACTCCAGTGTTACAGTCACGCCTTTACGCACCGACTGGCGAGCTCCTCCGGCAATCGTTTTGGTACCAAGGCCTTGGCCAGCTCTATTTCCATCACCAGGAATGTCCCTGCATCTACATATTGCTGTGAAGACAAACATTGCTCTCTCAGTGTCACATTTTTCAGTGTCACTGCTGTCATGACTGAAGCCTTAGCACAATGCCAAATGTTTACCAAGGACTCTGCTGGAATCATAGAGTAACAGCTTGTTTTCTTATCTGATCTCAAGATTTTATATCACAGAAAAATCGAGTTAGAGAAAGGCACAGGTCTGGAGTAATAATTTCCTCAGATTCTTTTTTTTTTTTTGAGAAGGAAGCCAAAATATGAAAACTGTTGAAGAACCCTCCTAAATTCAGTCCCCGATATTTTTGATCCCCCACTTGAATGATAATGTGTGCACAGATGTCACTGGAGAGATCTCACTGTGGTAGCTGCAAAAGAGGTGAAAGTCCCCAGTCCTCAGCTCTCCTAGCAGAAGTCAATTATGTAGATGATGCTGGAATCTGGGCTATGGGAATTTACACAATGACAGTCTACAGATTCTTTCCATCTCTTTAAAGCACACACTTACCTGTCCTTCCAGGTTCTGACACACTGTTGCTTCAGTTTCTATAGCAGTCTCTGACACCTGAGATTTTAGCGTAGTGGACATCTAGCAAGAGAAAGAAGGTCTACATTGTTCAGTATTCAAAGATCCTCATACTTCCCCAAATTAATCCAGTCCCTGTGACACCAAGAGAGCAGTAAAACAGAGGTTTATTACCTGCTTACTGTGCTACAGTTTTGAAAGCCATGAATATTAAACAGCCAAGCCATTCTCAATGTTAGATTTGGTTCATGCATCATGTATTAGGAAATTCCAAAGTGATGACGATTTTTCAATCATTCAGGAAGAAGGAATACTAGCTGGCCCCCCGCCTCCCTTCTTTCCTAAAACATGCAACGTTTCCAAGTTTCTGAGTTCCACAAATCTGCTTTCTCTTATACAAACTGTGACACTGTATGGAATATGTGGGACACTTTGTGATATTACTGATACCATATTATAAAATTGCAAGGAATCTGGCCAGATATGAAATGTAAGGTATCTATGAAAATGTTATAATTTGCCAAGTATGATAATCTTGTGTATATGTTTGTATCACCTTTTTATGGTGAGTTATAGATATGTAGAGTATATCGGTTATTTCCAAACTTTTGCTGTGTTTCTGGGTAACACCCCCAGACAGATTGGCAACAGCACTGCCTAGCCTGTTCAATAGCTCATCAAGGTTCATCTGCTATACAACTGACCCATTGAGAGAGGGTAAGGGATACACCTTATGAGACAGCAAGGCATGTAGGGGCACGTCGGTAGACAGAAAACTCTAAGGCTTTTCCATGCCATGTGCTGTGAAGCTTGTGTTTGGGACACAGGAAGTACAAGCCACATGGCAAAAGAATATAAAAGGCAGCTGCATCTTCTCCATTTTGTCTTCATTCCTGCTTCTTACCCTTGAATAACTTTTCTACAAACGAAGCTCTGAACAAAGGACTGAATGACCCATCCAGCTGTGGATGTGTTCCAGAAGGACTTTCAAGCCAGCAATCTCACCAGTATTGCTACGAACCTGATATATGGACTTTGAAGTCTCTGTATGTATCTGAGTGCTTTACCATTTAACAACTCTCTTGTTCTTTCTTTTTTCTTTATGATAAACCTTTAGTTTTAGGCACTAAAGGATTGGCTGGCAGCGTGGTATTTCGGGTAAGAACCAAATTTATACTGACCTGGAAATGTGGCTGACCCTTTGGGGTCAGAAGAACATTTTATATAGTGAGCACAATTTTTTAAATAACTTCTCACTATCCTGGACTTAGGTGCTGATTGGTAGCCAGAGAACTGGAATGCAATAAAGGGGGCTAGGTGATTTCTTTTTTAGCTTCTTGATAACCAGTGTCGGGGAGATCAGAAGCACAGTTTGTGACTGGTTGATTAACTTAACTTCAGTGTTAACCACCAGTTTTGGGTGCCATCTACCCTCCCTTTTGCAGCTTTCCCTAACCTTGGCATTTTCAGTGAGGTCTGCCCCAGGCACCCCAGGTCACACAAGCATGGCAAGGCCCAAGAGCTTTATAACCATGGGTAAATTTCTCTCTAACCCTTACCTTTCTTAGAACATCCTTCTCTTTGGTCATTTTATCCTCTTTCTGGTTCCTACTGGGCATAGCTTTTGAATGAGGGGAGCTGGCTGCTGCGATCACTGGCCCTAATTTGTTCAGATTGGCTTGATGCCCAAGATCACGTAAAATGCTGAATAGACACTTAGTCTGAAAAAGAAGGAAATTATGAAATTGAGGCAAAAAAAGAAATGCAGCTTGCGGGACTGGACTTCACCATCCTTCTTGCCTCAACACTCACATGTCAGAGCACAGCAATGAATCATTAAATTATCACTAAACATTTTTCAGAGGTTGCCTTTTTAAATAACATTTTATCTCTGCATAGGAGGGTTGCATCACCTGCAATTTAGCACCTATTTAAAAGCTATGGTTAGTGCAATAACTTAGGTTGGTTTGAATTAGCTACATCATCTGGACAACAGCTCTCATCAAGCAGAAGGTCCAGTCCATGGCATTAAGGAGACCAGGAAATGAGAATGTAAGAGAGACAGAGAGAGCATGTGTTGTTTTATTTGCAAGTTACAATGTATTTTTATAATTGTGACCCAGTGGGGAGTACCATATGGGAAAGAAGACATCACCAAAGCATTGCTGGGATACTGTGGAGCAGTAGGGTGACCAGACAGCAAGTGTGAAAAATCAGGACAGGGGGTGGGGAGTAATAGGAGCCTATATAAGGAAAAGCCCCAAATATCGGGACTGTCCCTATAAAATCGGGACATCTGGTCACCCTATGGAGCAGAGACTAGAGGAAAGTTGTCTGCCTGGACCTGTTTTTCAATAAACCATCTCCTAGAAGGATAAAGTTTGTGTGACTCACACAGGAAAGGGCTGGTGTTTTCATCCAGGTCCAGCTACTAGACTGCACCTGGGATATTTGTGATCCCCAGTCAACAGTTAAGGTGAATGAGGGGACCAGTAAAACCAACTTACTTTCCCTTGTGTGAGTCTCTCCTGCTTTGGGACAAACGCAGAAACAAGTTCAACATTGTTCAAGGGAAACATGAATGTTAATATTTGCCTAAAGTAACATGGTTGGGGGAAGGGGAGAAGAGAAACTAAAACAGAAAAAACTGTATGAATTACAACCTCAATGTGGTCCTTTTAATTAATTAAAATCTTTTGAGCATCCTTGGTGGTAACTACACTGATCCAGTAACCACTGTATTATCCTAGGGAGGACCTGCCTCACTAAGAAGTGGTGGGAAAAACACCTATCATAAGGGGGAAGAGGATTTTTACAACACTGATTAGCTGCTGCCAGAGAAAGGAGTGCAGACAAGTCATGTCCTAAGGGTCCCTTCAATCCCCAAACCCCATTGCACAGGATGTCTGCCTCATACCATGGCTTAGGAAATAAATTGGCTCATTTAGGAAACTGCTCCAATAAGCTTGGAAATCCAGTGAATCCAGAGCCAGCTTTATCGTAAAGGCAAACCTAAAATACCATTCTGATAGCCCTGACTGCTCCCAAACATGTGATGCATGAACACAGATGGACAAGGAGATTGTACTGCAGTGTACAGTACAAGCCCATTCTCACCTTCCCAAACACCTCACTGTCTTGATATGCAAATACACGGAAAGCCCCTCGTATGCGCTTCACACCAGGGTACAGCAAAGGCACCATGTTGACGTATGCCACGCCATGGAAGAAAATCTGTCCATCATCATCTCCCTGGAAAGGCAAACAAGACCAGGCATGAGTTAGCTAAATGATTGTTCTCAGGACTGTTCTTTGCAAGGTTTTCAGGCCATCACCGCAGGCTTCTGCATACTGCACCAATTCCTAATAAAACGAAGTTATATCAATGGTGTCCTGTCAGTGAAGTTTCCCCAGCTGGCATAAACCTGTGTCAGCATGAAAGAATATGCTGTAGTCCTTCCATACCCAATATTATTCCAATCTCTGCAAGTCAAGGACACATTTTCTTAGTGAAGCCAAGTGCTCTGTTCCTACTGGGCTGAATCCTGGCACTCAAAGAGATAAGCCTCTAAAGGCACTCACCAGCTGACTAGGAAACAGAATGTTCTGCTAGAGTTATGAGGAGCTTAGTGTCCAGTATGGGGCAAGGAGAACATAGTTAGTCATTGCTGCAAAATCATATGGCCAGTTTAGGATCCCTGAACATCTGAGAGGTGCTCAAGGAACATCTTGGCCAAAGGAAAGATCAGCTAATCACTTTCCCAAGCAGTTACTTTCCCAAGTAATCCCTCTTCAGTTGCCATGGTACTAAAGAGCACTAGCAAGATAGTTGTGTGTTGTAACTTGAAACGTTGCTATTTGTTTGACAGCTTTGTAAGGCTGATTACTCCATTACCAAAGCCTCTAGCCCTCCCTAACTCACCTCTGCCATTTGGAAACTGTTCCTGGCTTAGCAGAACCACTGATGGAAAATGGCACCAAAATACAATCATACACATACATACAAATCTCTAGGCATATTTACCTTGTCTAACTTGCTAGATTTCCCTTTGGTGGAAGTAACCACAGGCACCCTGGTAATCTCCACTGGCCAGTACCGGCATTCTGCAATGCGCTTCTGTAAACTGCCACACCAAAGGAGACAATTGAGAAATATAGAAAAACAGTCCAGAGATTAGCCTGTGCCATGTAGGGAAAGTGAGGCTACACATTTACAGTAAACTCTATGGGAAGAAATAAACTGGTAGAATTATTTTCTTAAAAAAAATAAAAATAAAAAAAATCTACCAGTGCCCCCAGTGAAATGTTCTATTCTACGTTTCAGTTTTTATTAGCAGGGACAACTGCATGAAAACAGGAATGTTATTCCAAGAGTTCATCAGCTCCTATGGCTCATTCTCCACTGTAAATCGCAGTGCTTTGGCTGTGCTATCACAGCATTCAACTGTAAAAATCACAAAGGACAGAATCACAGGATAGAATCGCAGAAATGTAGGGCTGGAAGGGACCTTGAGAGGTCGCCTAGTCCATTACCCCATGCTGAGGCAGGATCAAGTATACCTATGCCATCCCTGAAAGGTGTTTGTCTAACTTCTTAAAAACCTCCAATGATGGGGATTCCACAAACTCCCTTGGTAGCCTATTCCTGTACTTAACTGTCCTTATAGTTGAAAGTTTTTGCTAATATCTAATCTAAATCTCCTTTGCTGCAGATTAAGCCCATTACTTCTTGTCCTATCTTCAAATGGATATGGAGAACAATTGCTCACTGGTCTCTTTACACCAGTCCTTAATATACTTGAAGACTGTTATCAGGCTCCCTCTCAGTCTTCTTTTCTTAAGACTAAACATGCCCAGGTTTTTTTAAACTGTTCCTCACAGGTCAGGTTTTCTAAACCTTTTTATCATTTTTGTTACTGTCCTCTGTACTTTCTCCAACTTGTCCAAGTCCTTCTTAAAGTGTGGCACCCAGAACTGGCCACAATACTCCAGGAGAGGCCTTACCAGCACCGAGTATAATGGAAGAGTTACTTCCCAGGTCACACTTACGACACTCCGGTTAATACACCCCAGCATGATATTAATTTTTTTTACAACTGCATCTGTAGTTGGCTCACAATCAATGTGACCCAGTATAACCCCCAGATCCTTTTCAGCAGCACTACTGCTTAGCTGGCTATTCCCCATTTTGTAGTTGTCTGTAAGTGTAGCACCTTGCACTTGTCTTTATTGAATTTCATCTTGTTGATTCTGACCAATTCTCAAGCCTATTTTTAAGTCTAATCCTGTCCTCCAAAGTGCTTGCAATCCCTGCCAGCCTGGTGTCATCCACAAATTCTAGGTGCTTACAGATTATTTAATAATTTGTTCCAGTATCTTTCCAGGTATCAAAGTTAGGCTGACTGGTTTATAATTCCCTGGGTCCTTTTTGTTCCCCTTTTTAAAGATAGCTACTATGTTTGTTCTTCTCCACTCCTCTGGGACCTCACCCATCCTCCATGAGTTCTTGAGGATAATTGTTAATGGTTCCGAGACTGCTCCACCCATTGGCACCGACTCCGTGGTTTCTGCAGGGCTGCAGCACCCATGGGGGAAAATTAGCAGGTGCTCCACGCCCACCAGCAGCCAAGCTCTCCCAGCCCCATCCCCTCCTCACCTTCTCCTCCCCCAAGCGCACCGCGTCCCCACTCCTCTCCCTCCCAGCACTTCCCGCCTGCCGCCTAACAGCTGTTTGGCGCGCTTAGGACTTTCCAGGAGGGAGGGGGAGGAGTGGGGATGCAGTGCACTCAGGGGAGGAGGTGGTAAAGAGGCAGGGCAGGGGTGGGGACTTGGGGGAAGGGGGTGGAATTGGGGCGGGGCGAGGTTGGTGCAGGGGTGGGCAGGGGTGGGGTCAGGGGCAGGGGGTCGAGCACTCACGGGGAAGACAGGAAGTCGGCGCCTATGGCTCCACCTAGTTCCTTAAGTACCCTAGGGGTGCATTTTGTCAGGCCATGATGATTTGAATACATCTAATTTATCTAAATATTCTTTAACCTGTTCTTTTCCTATTCTGTCCTGTGTTCCTTCCCTCTTGTTGTTAATATTAACTGTGTTAAGCATCTGATCATAATTAATGTTTTTAGGGAAGACAGAAGCAAAAAAAACATTAAACACCTCAGCTTTTTTGGTGTTGTCCATTAGCTCTCCTTCCCCACAAGTAATAGACCTACACTTTCCTTCACCTTTCTCTTGCCCCTACTGTATTATAGAACCTCTTCTTGCCTTTTATGACCCTGGCTAGGCATAACACAATTTGTGCCTTAGGCTTTCTGATTTTGTCCCTACATGCTTCTGCTATTCTTTCACACTCATCTTTAGCAATTGGTCCAGGCTTCCACTTTTTGTAGGATTACTTTTTGATTTTCAGGTCATTAAAGAGCTCCCAATGCAACCATGTTGGCCTCTTACTATTCCTCCTATCTTTGCATTGGGATAGTTTGCTGTTGATAGGCTAGGATGATCACTTAGGGCAGGGAGAGAGCTGGGAAGGTTTAAAGAGGAAACTTCAGACCACATCTTATGTCTTCTTTCATGCTACTTGTTATGCCTGGAATAGCCTTCCATTTAACGTGAGCCAAGTCCTCCCTCTCAAAACACTCCTGAAGATAACCATCTTCCCCCTCCTGCAAAGCATCCACTCTGTTTGTTCAGTACCCTTTGCACTGGACAGAACAAACCATTTTGTGGCTTTAGAAAATAAGCATTTTGGGGCTGTGACTCTTATTTGTTTGGCACATTTTACTCACTGTCCCACATTAAATATAGATCTATTATTAATTGGCAAATCGGTCTGAAACATGTTGGAGTTTTCCTTTCTTTTCTCCCCTTTACCTTAGAAAGGAGATGAATAAGAGCAGACATGACAAAAGTTTAAAATAATGAATTATAGAGAAGGTAGATGGAGAGTGTCCATTCTTCCGGTCTTATAGCTCAAAAACAAAGGGAACATTCAATGAAATTGAAAAGTAGCAAATTCAAAACGGATACAAGGAAATACTTCTACACATAATGTATAACTGGACTATGGAACTCATTGCCACAGTATGACACTGAGGTCAAAAACTTAGCAAGATTCAGAGGGATTTGATATTTATATAGATAACAGAAATATCCAGACTTATGGATGCTAAAAAAATTAAAAGTACTGGAAGGGATATAAAACCTCATGCTTCAGGATTTAAAACAAGCTCTATGAGGGATTAGGCAGATTACCCCACATATATGGTGGGGTCTATTGCGTCTTCCTCGAAAGCACCTGGTGCTGGTCACTGTCAGAGACAGGATACTGAAATAGATGAATCATGGGGCTGATGCAGTCTGGAAATTCATATGTTCCTCCCCATCCCCATCACTTTTTGCCCAGAGAATTTTCCTTAGTTTTCTTACCTGAGAACTGCTGGAGGGTCTAGGTAACAGCGCCTTTCCAAGTCCCAAACAATTCTCTTCTTTATGCTCTCTGCCTGAATCCTAAATTCCCTGTCCTAGGAGAAACAGTCGGATGTTCAGATCACACCCTGACTCAGTACACTGCATTCCAACTGATGGCAGTGCCTAGCCTAGCGGTGAAATGCTTATCACCTCCAAGGGGAGAACTTATTGCAGAATTCAACTCCACACAGAAAAATCAGCATATGACCAAAATGAGTTAGCAACAGTTACTATAGTTCTTGGGCCAATTAAAGTTAGATTTACTTGTGTCACCAGCAGCCTGGCTTGTGATGGTGCTTGGACAAGCATCAGGTCTCCTCCTCTGAACCTTGCTTCTCATTCCTCCCATTTTGTATCTTTGAAAGTAGGTTGTCAGTAATTAGTTTTGCTACATACTCTGGCTCTCTCCCGGCTGCTTCAAGGTCATTTCTTCCTCACCTCTGTTTTGTTGAGCTCTCCATCCTCCTCCTCATAGGGGCCACCAACAATAAAAGAGTCTGGAATGTTTTGAGCTCCTGGTGCCAGGATGTTGCTAATGGGCCATTTTTTTGGCCGAGGTATTGGCTCTTTTTCACCACCAAGCTTCAGGATCCCGTTCTTGAATGCCAAGGGGTACTCTTTCTAGAGAGGTATAAAGGAAAAGGATTTTCATTCAGAGGTCTGAGCAAAAGCAAGTAAACACTATAGTGAGGTGTGACCAACAAGTAAAAAGCAACATTATAGCGACACAGCTTGGAAAACATGCTCCAGCCCACACAGGTATAGAAGCTACAAAACACAAGCATCAAACTGCATGAACCGACAGAGACAGGAAAATCCCACCCATTTCAACACACATGCACATGGAAGTTGCCATGGTGATGAACAGACCAGGCAACAATGGGCTTGATCTAAGTCACAGAACTATACATACACAAACAGCTGAAAAATCACTGACAAATATCAATATACTTATGTGGCCACAGAAACAGTTGGACATACTCACATAATAGGCATAGGCATTCATTACTCATGCAGATTAACATCTTAGAAACCACAACCACAGAAGCAAAGATCTATCTGGGACATGTACAAAGAGTTCATTGACAGTTCCCCACCTCTCCAACAGTTGGTACTTGCAAGCAAACCATGTAGTTTTGCTGGGGTCCTGTGGGAACAAACACTTCAGGGACAGAATAAGCAGCCTCCAAGGTAACCCTGAGGAGATTGCCACCTGAAAGTTGTGATACAGAAAGCAGGGACTCTTGGATGGACACTGACACTTCAAGGCCACACTGCAAAACAAGAGCAAACTGAAGTGACATTCCACTGGAAACGGCAAAGTTATTAAACAGTTACCATGCATCTGTCTTTGCAGAGGAAATGAGTAGAGGTCTGCCTAAGTTAGAAATCTACAATATTATTTTATTCGTTGATTCAAATGAAGACAAAATGGGCATTACTGTGTGCTAAATGAATCTTACGGTAATTAAATTATTCGTTTCCAAATTGTAATGTTTCTCTACAGTAACTCCTCACTTAACATTGTAGTTATGTTCCTGAAAAATGCTACTTTAAGCAAAACAATGTTAAGCAAATCCAATTTCCCATAAGAATTAATGTAAATAGGGGGGGTTAGATTCCAGGGAAATTTTTTTTGCCAGACATATATATATATATATATATATATATATATATACACACACACAGAGTAATTAAAGTTTAAACAACTAATTTAC